CCTCACCTGACTCCTCCTTTCACCAAAATAGACTGGAGATGGTACAAATATTTAAAATCTTCTGACATTTGTAATAAAAATGCAGGCACTTTTCAGAAAAAAAACCCCACACTAATACACATATGAACGTACGTATTTATATACATACCTAACGTGTGTGTGCTTAACCCTATTAAAGTAGAGCAAAAAAGAATATGGATGAATGCTTTTTCAATATCTGGAATGTGGAAGACCTTCCTAAGAATGACGAAAACCCAGAGGTCACAAGGGCAATATGATAAATCTCACCATGTAAAAACTTCACCTTCTCCATGGAAAAAAAAGGAAGAGGGAAAAAGACCAAAGCAAGCTGAAAGCAGTAAACTAGACAAAAATAGCTCTAACATGTAAGACAAAGCCCCAGTTTTCTTAATATTGGAAAGCCCTTAAATCAATTTGAAACCTACAACCTAAAAGGAAAATGGGCAAAGGTGACAAAATGGTTCACAGAAATTAAATACAAATAACCAAAATACACATAAAAAGATACTCAAGCTCATTTATAATTGATACAAAATAAAACAATAACATAGTAATCTCTTCCACCTTTCAAACTGACATTGACTAGGAAGTTTGCTAATAAAAAAAATACCCAGAGTTGGTGAGGGTAGAGAGAAATGGGCATTCTCAAACATTGTTGGTGGGAGTGTAAATTGGTTCTACCCTTTAGAGAGCAACATGGTAATAGCTATTAAAATGTAAAATAGGGGTACTCTTTGTCTCAGTAGTTCCAACTCCTGGGAATTTACCCTACAAATATATTTCCACAATGTGGAAAGATATAAGGCGATGCCACTGACTGCAGCATCTTTTCTAATAGTAAAAAACTGCTAACAACTTAAGATTAGTCTATCAATAGGTTAAATATATTAAGCCATGGCCATAAAATGAGGTATAATGTAGTCATCTGAAGGACTGAAGTTGATTTGTGCATGCTGATGTTGGAAAGAGGTCCAATATATACTATAAATGGAGGCAAGGGAAATTAGTTGCAGTATAGTATATATTACATACAGAGAAAACTTCCATAAGGATACAGAAGAAACTGTTAAATGGTGAACTAGAGAAATGGGGACTTTTAGTTTTCCTTTCAATTTTATGCTGCTTAAATTCTTTTTTAAAATCACCTATACCTTCTTAATTAAAAAAGATATCAAACACTAGATATTGGAAAATATTGTTATTTGCACTCAAATTATAAGGGGAAAAGGACCAAAAAGGGGTAACATGAAAAAGGTCTAGGGCCGTCAGTCCAAGAGGTGAATTCAGCATAAATGCGTCTGCCTCCCCTCATCCAGCCTAACTCCCCTCGGAAACATTATTCCCAGGAACAGAAACCGGAAAGAATAGAGTCACTGTAGACCCTCTGCCTTCTCAGGACAGAGGGCTTAGTCAAGTGTGGGAATTTGAATTTGGAGCCTGACTGGTCCACCACCAGCCAGTTTATATCCCGTGCCTGGACAACAGCACAAATAATCCAAAAAAGCAAATGATTTACTTGGCTTTAGGTCACATTAATTTTAAAATTCTCATCTGAATATGGACACACAACATTCCATTTTATTCAGCAAGGATGTTCCCACAAGGCACTAAGCTAAGTACTAAGAAGAGAACAAGAATGAAATAAAACATGGTACCTGTCATCAAGTCATTCAAAATCTAGTGAAGAAGGGAAAAACGCACACAGCTCATCAGAAGGCAGGCCCAACGCTCTAGCAAAGGTGTGGAGAGAGATTAACCCCATCTGGGCGGGGGTGGGGTGGGGGGGTGGGGGGGTGGTGTCAGAGGCCTCAGCCAATAGACAGCACTTCTCAGAACTGCAGAATCTGTACCATTACCTTTCTCCTCCTTTCCACTTATCAACTCATTTCCTTGATAAATTTGACAACACCCTTTCTCTTGTTGCTTAATTCATATCACTAAATACAATACCATCTCTTTTGCAAAAAAAAATCAACTCATGTTACGTATACTTTTCAATATTAAATATATTACCATAAATACATCTTTGTTCAAAGTTTTAACTGGGAGTTGTTCCATCATGGCTATACACTACTGAAATAGCTCAAAAATGTCAGCAAATTAGCTTACAAACTACACTTTTCCAAATATTTCCTCTACATAGATTCCATTTATTAGTTCAGATCTTTGGGTCAGAACACAAAGTCATCCTAGAACAATCATGAAAAAAGCCAGGCTAGGATTTTAATCTAAGCTAAAGAAACAAAGACTATTACTATTTTGTCTATGTTTTGGGGTTTTATTTTTGGTTTTGGTTTTGCCTAGAACTGGTCAAGACACAGATAGGTATAGAGCTGCTACCCTCTTCTCGGTAAAGAAGGAACAACATTTCTGAGAACTTAAACCAAGGTATTTAAACATTTTTTCTCTTAGTGTTAGATATACTTTTCAGTATTAAATATATTACCATAAATATTTCTTTGATTAAAGTGTTATTTATTCAAGAGCTGTTCCATAAGCCATGAAAACCATACTTAACAAACTTCATAGGCTTTTAACATACTTGGTTATAAAGAGTGCATGTTTCACAGTCAAAAACAACTATGTTTTAATCTGGTTCCACCACATTGATGACTTTGGTAATCATTTCCTGTTTCTGAGCCTCAGTTTCCCAAAGGTATAATTTTCCTACCTCACAGAGTTTTTGTAAGGATCAGCAACAATCTAGGTAAATCATCGAGTCTGCTGCCAGGCAAAGAGCAAGCCATCAATAAATGACAGCTAGAATAATCGATGTTATTACTATGAATCCTAACTCTGGAAGCCAGTGGGGCACAGGTACATCAAGCCACTTTGTGGGACCCAGAGGGCAAGAAGTAGGACGTAGAAAGTAAGCTTCTTTTCTGCTACATTTATGAACAATCAGAATAAGTGACTTCAAGAATGATTACAACTTGCAGAACAGTGTCAAAGTGGATGAGAATGTATACATGCCCTGGAGTCTACATGAGAAAGTCCACTTCACCACTCACTAGACTTTGAGCAAGCTGCTCAGAGGAGATGTCCTTTCCTCAACTAAAATGGAGCTAATAACCATAAGAGACACTTAATCATAGGCAACAGACTGAGGGTTGCTGGAGGGGAGGGGGGTGAGGGGATGGGGTAACCGGGTCATTGGCATTAAGGAGGGCATGTGATAGAATGAGCACTGGGTGTTATATACAACTGATGAATCACTGACCTCTACCTCTGAAACTAATAAGACACTATATGTTAATTAATTGAATTTCGATAAAATTTAATTTAATTTAAAAAAAATAAAAACAAAAACAAAACAATCCTTTGAAGTACTTCAAGGGGATCTTGCGAAGGTTAAATTAAATGAGATAACCATGGAATGTTCTTAGTACAGCACCTGGCAACAGTGACAGATGTTTACTATCGGCCTGTCCATGAAACCCTTGGCGCCACCAGGGACTTCCCAAAAAGGGTCTGAAGAGCTTGCAACACTAATATGTACTTCAGATACATGTACCATTTTTCAACAGTATATAGACTCCAATGTGGTTAATAAAATACTAATTATTTTAAGAGTTCTATGCAAGTGACTTTTAAATATATGGAATGATTGTCGAAAATATTCAAATAATAGAGAAAGAGAGAAAGGAAAAAGTGTGCTCATTTAGCCAACCATGCCCCATTCTAACCCTGAAGTCCACTTTCCAGGGGGAACCACTGCAAGGCACTGTGGTGGGCACTCTTCAGATCCTTGTCTCTCAATATAGACACGAAGCAGGGAGGCACAGGGATTAGCTATGTTACAAAATGGGGTCATACCATACATACTATTTGTTTATTCAACAATGTATCATGGAAATCTATTCCCATGCCAATGCATTAAATCCTTACTCATTCTTTTTAGCTGCTGTTCAATTGGTTGCTGCTTCAGATAATGGATAACTTATGAATCCACTATTCTAGGCATTTAGCTTTCCTCTAATTTTCTCCGATTAAAAATAATTCCACAATGAATATTTTGTTTGAAGGGCATTCAACACATGGGCAGGTATCTCTGTTGAAAAGCTTCCTAAATGTGAAGCTGCTGAATCAAAGGTTTTGCACATTTTATATTTTGGTAATAATACTGGTAATATATTGTCAAATTGTCCTCCTAAGAGAACATAAATAAAAGAGAGGACACTGTACTCACTGTCATTAACCATCTGCTTAAAAACCAAGAACAACAAATAAACTATAATGTGGAGAAACCGTACATTTTCTCAGGGAAAAAGGGCTCTCACCTTCAAAAGAAAAGACAGGAACCACAACTAAAAATCCTACTCTATCCTTCTCAACACCAGAGCCCCTTTCTATGAACTAAACCCTCATCTTAACATTCCCAAACCCTAACATCCCCTGCAATGACCTGGCTCATGTCAAAACTAGTTTTCTAGTCCATCCTGCCCCTCCCAATCCCCAAGCCAACTGCGGGGGGGGGGGCGGGGGGGGGCGGAGGAAGGGGTGGGAAGGAGGAAGGACTCAAGACCTGAAGGGGTACTGTCATCATGTACCAGCCACACCAAGCCCCACTAAAACAGAATTATTCCATGCAATGCTCACTTAAAGTTCTAGTCTGTTGCTGTTTTAAAGCAGCAATGGATTACAATTTCTTAATCAATAATCACTGGCCTACAGGTAGTTTACACGTTTCATTTTGTCCCACAATATTATTACACTGAGGAGCAAGAGCAGATAAAGGTCATGTTGGTAATTAAAGCTATATTATAGAAATATGCACACCCAAGATATGATTAAATAAGAAAATATTACTCAGTTCAGTATCATCATTAAACTTGCATTAATTTATAAATATTTAAATGTACCATATGATGATCATAAATAATCTGTTTTTGTCAGTTTCTAAAGTAATGCAGCCCATAAACCCTTTGAAAAATTACTGCAGAAAGGAATAGTCAAGAAAGTATATAAGCCAGACTTACATTCAAATGCTGTGGTTGTTGCTTCAGGCAGAACCTGGCCTATCACATCCTAAACAAAGAAAGAATAAAGAAACACAATTAGCCATCTTCTTTATTGCTAACATGTGGCAAATCCTAGAGGAAATATGAGAACCTGAAAAAGATTTTTGAAATGTTGGCATAAACTATAAAAACATTAGCTCATAATCACACTTAGCCCAGCGATGTAAGCCCAGAGTTTAAATCTCTATTTGGGGACTGGGGCGGGGGAGGTGGTTCTTTACCAAATCTAGTCTGTATTTTTTTTTTTTTTTAAGATTTTATTTATTTTTTGACAGACAGAGACACAGCGAGAGAGGGAACACAAGCAGGGGGAGTGGGAGAGGGAGAAGCAGGCTTTCCGCTGAGCGGGGAGCCCAACGTGGGGCTCGATCCCAGGACCCTGGGATCATGACCTGAGCGGAAGGCAGACGCTTAACGCCTGAGCCACCCAGGTGCCCCTCTAGTCTGTATTAATATCATAATCTTTCACTCTTGATTCAACAGCGTATACACACTGTGTATTTAAAAAACACACAGTTTGTTCTATGGAAGGCTGTGGAATATACTACCAATAGAAAGGTGTTTAGGAGTCAGACTAGGCTGGGTTTGAATCTCAGCTCTCTACTTACTAGCTGTGTGACTGCAAACAAATTACTTAACCTCTCTGAGCCTCTATTTGATTATCCTCCAATATGGGTCTAGTAATACTCACAGAGGTAATGCAATTAAATAATAAGCAGAAGTTAGCCTAGCACATTGTAGACAACAAATGTAGTTTCTGATAGTAACTAGCAACATCTCGCCTTGTATTCATAGTGCAGAGAGTTAAAAAAAACAATTTTCCATGATATATTATTCCAATGATGATATTAACCTATAGCACTACATTTGATACAATTTTTATCAACCTTTACTCTTAAGCAACTGGAAAACATACATTTAATGACACCAGACGAGTTAATCTAGCCTACAAAAAAAATTTTGTTTAAGGTATATAATCTGATATCCATGTTTAAATGAACCCATAAAGTTGCAATCTTGAAAATCAGTCTACAGAGACAGCTTAGTTAGAGAGGCATGGAACATCTTCAAGAAATAGCCAGTTCTGGGAAAAGTGACCCTCCATACGTCCAGCTTAACCCAAATGGTCTGCAAACCTCACTGCTCTCGGGGAGCTCTGCCACAGCGTCCCTCCTGGACTCTGCCAGGAACTGGCACCAGGCAGCCGGCTGACAAAGCGGCTTGCAGTAGTTCTCAGCAGGGAGCCCACAGCCCTTCCAAGTGGGGCACTTAGCAGAGTGGCGGCTGCAACTTCCTTCCAAAGGCAGTTCTTTAGAAGCTTTTGCTGCAGTGGAAATTTGCATAATAGCCTTGCCTCTACAGTGCCTTTTTTTTTTCCTGAAAAATAAATCTGTGCATATAAAATTGATCAAAGAGAGCTATCTGAGGCAGCCCTCACTCATTAGAGCCAAAGGAGGTGATTTTTTTCCTTCTGATTCTAGTCTTAGCAAATGAAACATCAACTCTGAGGAAGTAGTTCTAAAAAATTTTAGTGTTAAAGAAATCCTACACACTTATAGGCAGAAAGTATTTATTGCCAGGTAAATGGAAACTGTAGAGCGAGTATGGAATATACTATACAGGCAGCTAGCGTAAAGCCTGACTATGTGGACTAGAGCCGAACTGCTAAGGCTGGACCTTGGCTCTGCCATTCAGTAGCTGAGTGACTGAGTCTCTCTGCGCCTCAGTTTCCTTCCGTGTAAAATGAGATCGTAACTGTACTTACCTCATAGGACTAAATGAGTTCAGATTTGTAAAGTGCGTAGAAGAGTGTCTAGCACGCGGTAAGCGCCACATGAGTGTCTATTAAATAAAACAAGTCACTGATGACTGGAACGTCACAAAGCTTACCTCACAACGAAACCCTAAATTTCAGCACCCAAGGATGGGTGGATGGTCATTCATTCACCTACGTCATCCTTTGATAGCCTTTACTGAGGACCTTTTCTAGCTGGGTGTGTAGTTAAAAACAAGCTGGGGGACTCCACCCTCAACCCTCCAAGTTGAGGTTACCTCTGGTTACTTCAAGGGAACTCTGACCACCTCAATCTTGAGATGTGAACTCTATAGTAATCGCAACCTAATTTAGGATCCTTCCTACTTATGAATAGCAGAATCCATCAAGCAGCAAATTTCTAATGACTAGCTGAAAACCTTGCTTGGCAGCAATGGCATCCTTTGCGCATCAACATAATCAAGGAGCCACATAGGTTTTACACCTAATGTGGGGAAAAGGAGAAAGAAAAAGCAAACTTGCTTGAGAGAATCATGAGAACCATGTGAACACAACCAACAATCTTATTTTGTTAAAGCAAATAAAGTGGGGCTTATCATAATGCCAAAGAGCTAAAAAGCTTCAAAATTAGTTAATACCTACTGGTTATTTCTAAGCAGGGCACATTTAATAATTTTACATAAATTTTCCAGTTATATTTTAAGTGACTTATTCCCCCCCCAAAAAAACACCTGTCTTATTCCCAAAATAACATTTACCTAAAGAAGGTTTCAAAAGAAAACTTAAATTTAAATATCTTAATGGTGATCATTTCTTGATCCTTTTCTTCTCTGTGCTTTTAATAAATCCATCAACTATATGATGGGCCAAAAGTATAACTAAGCATCTACAACAGGCCAGGAGCATAAAGATCACAAAGCGGTAGGCTATAGAAGAATAAGATTTAGAAAGATGCTAGTCTGGTCAGAGATAAAGACAAACCTAAAAGAGTAACAAAATAGAGCACTTATAGTATGATAAGAGCAAACAAAAGACATAAATAGCAAATAAGTATTTGCTAACTCAGGAGCAGGAAAAAATCAAAGACTCAGTTTAGACAAAAATTTCACAGATGAGAGGAAATCTGAGCTGGGACTTGGGAGACAGGATTGATAATAGCAAGAAGAATAAGAGGAACATTCTCTCCTCCCACTGAGTAGTTGAGATCTCCTGCACAATCTTCCCAAAACTGGGGGCTGTGTCTACAAGGAACAGAACACAGAACAGAAAGCTGAAAAACAGATCACCAAATGTCTCTGCCCTCGGAGACCAGCCAGTCTCTAATTATTCAAATGCAGGACAAAGACCCAGAGAGGCCGAGTGACTTCTCAAGGGTCTCCCAGCCATTTGATGGAGCTGTGACAAGAGCTCTCAACTGCAACCCCACATCCAAAACATGCTCAGGTACAGATGACTCAGTGACCACAAACTGCTTCTGGCTTCTGTTTCTGGTGTGGCCCAAAATGAGCTGTGTGGCTTTAGCACTTTCCCCCTCTGGGGTTCATGCTCCCTCATTTGAAAACTGGGGTGAAGTTATATTAGATGAAGGGGATGCTTCCAGATTTCAATGGGCTTTAAATTTTAAGGCTCTAAGCCAAAGATGCTGATGTATCTGTGGTTTTTGCCAATTTCTTGATGAAAATGAGGTGACCCTAGAGAAGAGATCACAGGTGTCCACCAGGATCTGGGCGTGCAGTTCATAGAGCCTGCTATTAGGAGCATAAGAGATAGCACAGCACCCATTGCTAAGAGACCTTCATCAGGCCTTCCTGCAAAGCATGCTCCACCTGGGCTTACCTGTGCATGCGCATGTGAGAAGACACATGGCACTCTGAGCTCTAGATGGTGGGACCATTTGTGCAAAGTTTGCTTTAAGGCCAGTCAGCCTGGAGCCAAGGAATCATTGAGAGATGCTTGAGAAGCAGAAGACCCAGGCCCTGTCCCTTATGTTATAACAACAATACTTATAAAGCACTTACTACATTCCAGATTGTTCTAAGTGCTTTATGTATATCAACTCTAGTAGTCCTCATACTCTATCAGGTGGGCACGATTTTTATCTCCCACTCTCCACTTTTTTTTTTTTTTTACAGATGAAGAACTGAGACACAGAAGACACTTGCCCAAAGTGAGTCTGGTAAGGCTTGCAATTTAAACCCAGGGAGTCTGGCCCAGAGTTTGTGTTTTTAAACATCTCACCATTCTATTTTTTTTTTTTTAAATAGTTTATTTATTTGAGAGAGAGACAGCGAGAGAGGGAACACAAGCAGGGGCAGGGGAGAGGGAAAAGCAGGCTCCCCACTGAGCAGGGAGCCCGATGTGGGGCTCGATCCCAGGACCCTGGGATCACGACCTGAGCCGAAGACAAACGCTTAACTGACTGAGCCACCCAGGTGCCCCTGCACCATTCTATTTTAAATAATACCTTCTGTTATTTCAAATGAGCAAAGTGAAAGAAAGCTCACATCTTTCTCATCACAGGCATGATCCCACTTAATCTTTGCAAGTCTTGAAAACAGGTATAGTCCCTATTTTACAAGTAAGGAAACTAAGGCTAAAAGAGGCAGAGTGACTTGCCTAGTTAGTGGGACTGCCTGCAATTAAACCCATGTTTCTAGATTCAAAACCCAGGAGCCTGGTCCACAAAACCATAACTGCATGCATCTTCTTTGAAGCTCCCTTTGAAATATTTGAACAAATATTTCGGGGGGCGCCTGGGGTGGCTCAGTTGTTAGGCTTCTGCCTTCGGCTCGGGTCATGGTCCCAGGGTCCTGGGATCGAGCCCCACATCGGGCTCTCTGCTTGGCGGGGAGGCCTGCTTCTCCCTCTCCCACTCCCCCTGATTCTGTTCCCTCTCTTGCTGTGTCTCTCTCTGTCAAATAAATAAATAAAATCTTAAAAAAAAAATTTTTTTTTCAAGATGCTATGGAGCTCCAGAGACAGAGGGGAGACAGAAAAGTCCATCTCCTCCAGAAGTTTACCATTTCAGTGGAAGAGATAGACAGACAAAACTGACAAAACCTGTGACCTCTGCTGGAGCAAAGCTGTGGGAACACAGAGGATGGGCACATAACCAAGATTAAGGTAGAGGAAAAGTGAAGCTGGGCTCTGAATGGCAGGTAGGAGTTGGCCAGCTGAAGAAAGGGGCTGAGTGGAGACAGCCTGGAAGAACTCAAGGTTAGTTCTATGTACCTGGAGCACATGATCCTCCCAGGGGTGTGGTGAGAGATGGAGCTGGTGCCAGGTAGGCACAAGCCAATCCACGTGGGCCTAGAGGACTGTGCTAAAAAGTTTGGGCCTTGTCATGAGGGAGGAAATCTATATGTATGTGAGTGTGTGAACTCAAAGGGAAGGGCAACATCTGGTGTACAAGATTGGAAGCTGCTGGCTCACTCCAGCTTCGGGACTCCTGGCCCAGACACCTGAAAATCTGTTATGTTCTGCGTGGTCAGTAAAATCTAGAATTCAAAATGTAGGTACAGGAATCAAATTTTGATTGAGTCACCTACGACTACCAAAAAAAAATCACATCAGAAATCTCCCTCCTCCCAAGAACCTCTGCTCCGCCCCATCTTATCTTGCAGGTAAGATACACCACAGATTTGGTACCTGCAACATGCTTCTGGGTATGTCAGTTCTGCTTTTCATACCTCAATCATTCAATATATAAAATGGGCACAATGCACTCTGGCTATCTCAAATGTGTGCTAAGAGATGAGAAGTGGCAGCGCAGCATGTGGGAAAAAATTACTAAGTAAGGAAATCTGAGTTCTGGTACTGACTCTCCCACTCAGGAGCAACACAGTTTTGGAAAAGCCATTCCGCCTCACTGCTCCTCAGTAACTATCTCAAAAAAGGTAAGAGGTCTCAACAGGCCACCGCCAAAATTACACTCTGCTCTTACATCCCATGATTTTATTTGAAATATGTTCCGAGTATCCTGAGAGTAATGACACAGCATTGATTCCAAGATGTACCCTTTCCCTCAACGCTAGCATCTCTGAAATTGGGCTACTTTTGTATAATGTGCAGCAGGTCACAGTTAAACGGGCAGTATTTTTTCTGAATGGTACATAAAATAGTATCTTTAAAAAATGACACCTTAGGTTTGCTGAAACATGGCAAATTCAAGCTGCCTAGTTTCCCTTTCTCCAGGAGTCAACAAGTTCAGGGAACTCGGTAGAAAGGCATGGCTGGAATCTGGCCAGGGACATTCTGAGAAACACTTCGGGGAAAAAAACTTCTAGACTCAGCTTTTTGCATCCAGTTGGTTGCTTCTGTGTGTACGTCCCAGTCCAGGCTGTGAGCTCCTTGAGGGCAGGGGTTCAATCTGATTCATCTCTATTTCCCCAGGGCCCTGCACAATTGCCAGATTTCAGTACATGCCATTAATCAATGCCGGCGTTGAAGCAATAAAACTGCCCTCACAGGAGGCCAGCAATGGCCACCGCCACTAGCTCGGGCCACCAGGCTCAGACTCAGTGGATAAGGTGCTGACTACCCCACAAATCCCTGCGCCCTCCTCAATGGGATTTGAAGACTGAGATTACCACTCACCAGCACATCCCTGAAGAGTAACTGCGGCCCGGAGTGCACGGTCCAGTCCACCGCGCCACTATTTGGAATCTTGATACGAATCACCAGCACCTGGTTCTCCATGGCATGGAAGGGGCCAAGGGCCAGCCACAGCATTACACGTTACAGGGACTCACATCCTGGGGTAGGAAGTACCCCCTGGATCCTGGTTAAGCGAGGGCTCCAAGAGGTGACAAGGGGACCGAGGGGAGGAGGACGGGGCGGGGGGCAGTAAAGAGAGAAGGAGGGGTCTGGAAGGCGCCCGCAGGCACCGAGCCAGACCCAGGCTGTAAGGGGTCGCAGCTGCCTCCCTGTGAGCGTGGACGGAGCAGGAGGAAGGGGCCGGTAGGAACTAGCGGAGGTTAGAAGGTTCTGGAGTTGGAAAACTGGGCGAAACGGGATCGTGAAGCTCTCTGCCGTCTGCGTGGGCGTGAGGATCCGACCCCGTTTTAGGGAGGCAGAGCGGCAGGTGTCCACTCCTCCTTAGTGGGGAGTGGAGGGTCCCCGACTGGACGGGACTCAGTCGGGAGCTGTTTGGAAGGAGCCCCGGAGCCCCCAGACCACGAGAAAGCTGAGGAGGGCCTTCCGCGGGAGGGTCGGGAGCCAGTCCTGTTCCCCACCCCGACTGGGAGGGCGCGGCGCGCACGGGCTCAAACCCGGCCGCCCCAGGCCGAACGTTCCGGCTGCGGCGGCAGCGGCGGCGGCAGGAGGAGGAGGAAGGCGCGGCGAGGGCACTGTTACTCCGGAACCAAAACGCACGGCACCGGAACCCGGGAGCCGGCGAGAGGGACCCGCCTCCCGCGGCGCCATGTTGGAAGAGGGCAGCTCCCGGCCAGCCCCGCCCCCGCGGGGAGTGCGCGCAAAGTGCGGGGACCCGCATGAGGGCCGGCGGGGCTTGCCTAGTCGGGAGACCTCCGTCGTCCTGTGGCCGCCCGCGGCGACCGAGTGGCGGTCCTTGCCTTTCCCGACCCTCGTTAAAGGCGGCCAGGTGAAACCATCTAACAAACGAAGGACGAAACTGAACTGGGACTGGGTCCGCCAAAAGCCAATTGACGACACAAAATTGCGTACCGTTTGCGGCAGCCCCAGGAAGAAGTGCAGCGCTCCTTTATCCCTACTTTGTCAAGCCGTCTACCTTGACGGGGTTTGTGCATCAAATTAGCAAGAGCAAGGCAAGAACTAAAAAAGTGCTTGTCTTTTTCTCTTCCTTCTCCCACGCCACACATGCGGAAGGTCATCGTCTTCCTCTCGTATTAGCCACGAGTGTATGAATTCTTTTTGTTTTACCCCACGATTGCCCTGAAATGGTAAACATCCCTCTGTTCAAAAGCCACAGTTAAGAAAACCAGGGAAGAGTTCAACTGCCAGGGGACAGCTGCAGTAGTGGCATCATGTTCTATTATTAAATCGTTGCAGAAAATATCCGGTCTCGTCCATAAATTTTCAACTAGATAGCAATGTTTACGCAATCGGTGAAACCTCAGGCCAGTAGCAATAACCCTGGGTTGTTTTTAAATGCCTTGTTAACCTCATTTTAAAGTGCATAATTGTGTTGATCTATGGTCCCTAGATAAAAGTTTGTTTACAAATTGCAACGTGTAGGTTGGTCCATAATCTGCTAATAAAGGGGCACATGTCGCTTTACTTTTGGGTGCTGAATTTTGTATAAACTTCGTGGGAGAGGAGTGGCAGTTTCCCCCTAACACTCAGTTTATTTACGCGCGAGAAAAAAAAATTTAAATGTTGATTAGTTTCAGTATAATACCAAAAAATTTTGTGCATAGTTTTCTCTGTCTGAATTTCTTTTAAATTTAATTTGAAAGTCCGTGTAGGAGATAAATTATCTCTTTTTAGTTATTGTAGATTAATAGCTTAGGTAGAAATTCATTTAATCAGATGCTCCAGATATTCTGAAATTGCCCTTTTCCACCTGCACCTCAGTCCCGTGAAAGTAAACAGTGTGCCCAAGGTCCCCATGTACGTTTCATTGAAAGTTCATTTCCTATTATTTGAGAAAATAGACCACAAAACTAGAAATTTTCTTTTTTTTTTTTAAGATTTTATTTATTTATTTGAGACAGAATGAGAGAGACAGAGAGCACATGAGAGGGGGGAGGGTCAGTGGGAGAAGCAGGCTCCCTGCCGAGCAGGGAGCCCGATGCGGGACTCGATCCCGGGACTCCAGGATCATGACCTGAGCCGAAGGCAGTCGCTTAACCAACTGAGCCACCCAGGTGCCCCAAAACTAGAAATTTTCTATGAACCTATCATTTGTTAAACAGCTTTTTAATTCATAGTACTATGGGGAAAACCAACTCAATTTGTACTTTCAATTTTTCTGGATAGGTGTGTACCCAGAAGTGGAATTGCTGGATCATATAGTAATTCTATTTTTAATATTTTGAGGAACCACCATGCTGTTTTCCACAATGACTGCACCATTTTGCATTCCCACCAGCAATGCACGAGGGTTCCAATTTCTCCACACCTTCACCAACACTTGCTATCTTCTGTATTTTTTATATTAGCCATCCTATTGGATGTTAGGTGGTATCTCACTGTGGTTTCAATGTGCATTTCCCTAGTGATTGGTGATGTTGAGCATCTTCTCATATGCCTGTTGTCCATTTATATATCTTCTTTGGGGAACCGTCTATTTAATTCCTTTGCCCATTTTTAAAAAAAGATTTATTTATTTGTTTGAGAGAGAGAGCAAGATCATGAGCAGGAGGGGCAGAGAGTGGGAGAGAGAATCTCAAGCAGAGCCCATGCTGAGTGCTGAGTGCAGAACCCAACACAGGGCTCTGTCTCACAGTGCTGAGATCATGACCCCAGCCAAAACCAAGAGTTGGACACTTAACTGACTACACCACTTAGGCTCCCCTCTTTGCCCAGTTTTAAAGCGGGTTATTTATGGTTGTTGTTGTAAAGTGATATTTTTTTAAATGAGGAAAATCCATTTTGCTATTGTAAATCACAGAGGTTTTCTTTAATCTCTTCCCCCCCCCTTTTTTTATTCTTATGTTAATCCCTATACATTACATCATTAGTTTTAGATGAAGTGTTCCATGATTGATTGTTTGTGCACAACACCCAGTGCTCCATGCAGAATGTGCCCTCCTCAATACCCACCACCAGGCTAACCCATCCTCCCACCCCCCTCCCCTCTAGAACCCTCAGTTTGTTTTTCAGAGTCCATCATCTCTCATGGTTCGTCTACCCCTCCGATTTCCCCCGCTGCATTCTTCCCCTCCTGCTACCTTCTTCTTCTTCTTTTTTTTTATCTTAACATATATTGCATTATTTGTTTCAGAGGTACAGACCTGAGATTCAACAGTCTTGCACAATTCACAGCGCTTACCAGAGCACATACCCTCCCCAGTGTCTATCACCCAGTCACCCCATCCCTCCCACCCCACCCCCCACTCCAACAACACTCAGTTTGTTTCCTGAGATTAAGAATTCCTCATATCAGTGAGATCATATGATACATGTCTTTCTCTGTTTGACTTATTTCACTCAACATAATACCCTCCAGTTCCATCCATGCCGTTGCAAATGGCAAGATGTCATTCCTTTTGATGGCTGCATAATATTCCATTGTATGTATATACCACATCTTCTTTATCCATTCATCTGTCGATGGACATCTTGGCTCTTTCCACAGTTTGGCTATTGTGGACATTGCTGCTATAAACATCGGGGTGCACGTACCCCTTCGGATCCCTACTTTTGTATCTTTGGGGTAAATACCCAGCAGTGCAATTGCTGGATCATATGGTAGCTCTATTTTCAACTTTTTGAGGAACCTCCATACAGTTTTCCAGAGTGGCTGCACCAGCTTGCATTCCCACCAACAGTGTAGGAGGGTTCCCCTTTCTCCGCATCCCCGCCAACATCTGTCGTTTCCTGACTTGTTAATTTTAGCCATTCTGACTGGTGTGAGGTGGTATCTCATTGAGGTTTTGATTTGGATTTCCCTGATGCTGAGCGATATTGAGCACTTTTTCATGTGTCTGTTGGCCATTTGGATGTCTTCTTTGGAGAAATGTCTGTTCATGTCTTCTGCCCATTTCTTGATTGGATTCTTTGTTCTTTGGGTGTTGAGTTTGATGAGTTCTTTATAGATTTTGGATACTAGCCCTTTATCTGATATGTCATTTGCAAATATCTTCTCCCATTCTGTCGGTTGTCTTTTGGTTTTGTTAACTGTTTCCTTTGCTTTGCAAAAGCTTTTTATCTTGCTGAAGTCCCAATAGTTCATTTTTGCCCTTGCTTCCCTTGCCTTTGGCGATGTTTCTAGGAAGAAGTTGCTTCGGCTGAGGTCAAAGAGGTTGCTGCCTGTGTTCTCCTTTAGGATTTTGATGGACTCCTGTCTCACATGGAGGTCTTTCAACCATTTGGAGTCTATTTTTGTGTGTGGTGTAAGGAAATGGTCCAGTTTCATTCTTCTGCATGTGGCTATCCAATTTTCCCAACACCATTTGTTGAAGAGACTGTCTTTGTTCCATTGGACAGTCTTTCCTGCTTTGTCGAAGATTAGTTGACCATAGAGTTGAGGGTCCATTTCTGGGCTCTCTATTCTGTTCCATTGATCTATGTGTCTGTTTTTGTGCCAGTATCATGCTGTCTTGATGATGACAGCTTTGTAATAGAGCTTGAAGTCCAGAATTGTAATGCCGCCAGCTTTGCTTTTCTTTTTCAACATTCCTCTGGCTATGCGGGGTCTTTTCTGGTTCCATACAAATTTTAGGATTATTTGTTCCATTTCTTTGAAAAAAGTGGGTGGTATTTTGATGGGGATTGCATTGAATGTGTAGATTGCTCTAGGTAGCATTGACATCTTCACAATATTTGTTCTTCCAATCCATGAGCATGGAATGTTTTTCCATTTCTTTGTGTCTTCCTCAATTTCTTTCATGAGTATTTTATAGTTTCCTGAGTACAGATCCTTTGTCTCTTTGGTTAGATTTATTCCTAGGTATCTTATGGTTTTGGGTGCAATTGTAAATGGGATCGACTCCTTAATTTCTCTTTCTTCTGTCTTGTTGTTGGTGTATAGGAATGCCACTGACTTCTGTGCATTGATTTTATATCCTGCCACTTTACTGAATTCCTGTATGAGTTCTAGCAGTTTTGGGGTGGAGTCTTTTGGGTTTTCCACATAAAGTATCATATCATCTGCAAAGAGTGAGAGTTTGACTTCTTCTTTGCCAATTTGGATGCCTTTGATTTCTTTTTGTTGTCTGATTGCTGTGGCTAGGACTTCCAATACTATGTTGAATAGCAGTGGTGATAGTGGACATCCCTGCCGTGTTCCTGACCTTAGGGGGAAAGCTCTCAGTTTTTCCCCACTGAGAATAATATTTGCTGTGGGTTTTTCATACATGGCTTTTATGATATTGAGGTATGTACCCTCTATCCCTATACTCTGAAGAGTTTTGATCAAGAAAGGATGCTGTACTTTGTCAAAAGCTTTTTCTGCATCTATTGAGAGGATCATATGATTCTTGTTCTTTCTTTTGTTAATGTATTGTATCACATTGATTGATTTGCGGATGTTGAACCAACCTTGCAGCCCAGGGATAAATCCCACTTGGTCGTGGTGAATAATCCTTTTAATGTACTGTTGGATCCTATTGGCTAGTATTTTGGTGAGAATTTTTGCATCCATGTTCATCAGGGATATTGGTCTGTAATTCTCCTTTTTGATGGGGTCTTTGTCTGGTTTTGGGATCAAGGTAATGCTGGCCTCATAAAATGAGTTTGGAAGTTTTCCTTCCGTTTCTATTTTTTGGAACAGTTTCAGAAGAATAGGTATTAATTCTTC